AGAGTTGCTTGGATACTTGAATATCTGTAACTTCTGTACACTTCCGGTCAGTGTTTGATGCCTGCTTGGATCGTAACAGCTAACAATAGTCTTATTTAATCCTAACTTTGCTATTACATGTAACTACTTGTTTACACTAAACTAGTCATTCAAGTTAGCTTGGGAACTTAAGTCATTCTCTCAAAAAAATTGTATCTCATAAATATACTTTGTCAACAAAAAAACTTTATTGGTGTTGTATATCGTAATTTATCAGCKTTTATATAGCTCTTAATTGCACTAGCGTTATTTTTAACCCGGCATCCACATTGCAAACAAATTCACGTTAGTTGTTTTTCTCATGCGCGCTTCATGGTTGACAGTTCTGTTTATAGTTTTACTTATCGAGAATAAATAGACCTTTGTACCTTAGCAAATATTAACTCCGGTCGGAATTGCTTGCGCAATAGTTGCCTCATCTGCTGGACAGTATAGCTTTCAATGGATGAACAAGATATAACAGATATGAAACAACGACTGAAGTCCATTCGTCGATATAAAAAGCGAATGTGGAAAGGAAGGAAGAAAGAACGAATCCGCAGAGAACGCGCTGAGCACTGTCAATTGAAAATACAGAGCAAAGACAGTAAACACGTGGCAATCAAAGCTGTATCTTCACAAACTACTGTATCGAATCAAATGGACATTCTTCCCGCTGAGCTGGAAGCAAAGATAAAAAATGCCTCTTCACAAACTACCCCACCGCATCAAAGTAACATTATTCACGTTCCTGAGTCAAGGGGGAAATCATTGCTKAAGGCGGCCATTGGAYSGAATTCGAAAACAGAAAAAAGCATTTCCSGYGATAAAAKGGTACATAAGCGTGCTGCCCAGTCACCAAAAGATGAAAATTCTTTGGCAGAGAAAAGGAAAAAACAAGCCCATCATGAACAAAGTGTCAGAGAGCTAGATTCCAGTTTATTAGTTCGAGATAACGATGAGCRGATCTTAGKTAGTGGTACTTTTGGTAAATGCTACGCAGCTAAGTATCGTGACATATCTGTAACTGTCAAGGAGTACCATGACCACCGTGAAATGAAAAGCCTGGCAACTTTGAAAAAGTCGGCATACAAAGAGGCTAAAATGATTCTGTCATTACATGATCATCCTGGTGTACCTCTGTTATTTGGATTATGTTCATTAACGAAGCCTGTAAGGCTTATTTTACTGTTTCATGGCGACAAAAACAATAACACTAGCGAAACAATTTATAGTGCAACCAAAAACAAAACGCTGCTTGACGAAAAATCGTGGCGTAACGTATTGTGTCTGACTGCCATAGCACTAAATCATGTTCACAACTGTGGTGTAATTCACAATGACTTAAAGGCAAACAATGTTATCTTGGAGCCAAACCTAAATCCTGTTATTATTGATTTTGGACAAAGCGTAAAAGCTAGTGAAGCAAAGCCCCGAAAGCAGTCCTTTCACAACAGAGAATGGAAGGATTCGTACATTGCGCCTGAAGTACGTGACGGTACAGGAAAACCATCCACAAGTAGCGATATTTTTTCCTTCGCAAAAATGGTGCGTTTCGTCAGCAGTAGATGCTGTTGTTACGCCTCGGAAAGTATCGACAAAGCTATTTCCAGCAAGCCTTCGGAAAGACCGAGCTTGGATACTTTTATATCTGAGTATTCAATTGACTCACTGAAGCAAAAATAGCTATGTTCCAGATATGTTGGGCCGTAGAGATCCATATTAATACGTCATAGATATTATACAATTTCGGCGTTTTACAGGCCCAATCGCATTGATCATTTGATAGCAGTAATAAGACTAAGAGCTCTGTACAGTATGACGATAAGGTAACCAAATTGAAAACTTTGTGTTTTGTTGTTAATGTTGTTTTTTTTTTTTGGCCTGCTCTTTTACTGTAACTTTATTCGGTGTTGCCGTAATAAAAGTTATGAACTGAAACGAGCTCCTTCATTTTTCATTTTTATTTTAACTTGTTTCTTTAATCTTTTCTTTGCAACATTCTGGAAACTGTTTCGCGAAAACTTTATTTACAAAGGCATCAAGCTCAGGAAATCCTATACGGTTCGCCTTAAATAAATGTAATTCGTAGAACCACATTCAAATAATGTCTGAACATTGCCTGTCAACAAATGCTCGTTAATAAACAGAGTTTCCTACTAGAGTGGTACAGAGGTGTCGGCATAGTGTTAAAATAGGTAAAAAAATAACATATGCAAATTAGCTTAAGATGGAATAAGTCCATCTTAACCTAATTAGCATAAAGTTTTTTAGCCGGCCTAAGCTTCTCATGCTAAGTAAGAAGATACTCAAAGGACTGGCGCGAACTGCCGGAATTACTTTAGGGGGTCTTTTCATAGGTTAACTTACCATTACTCTTTTCGCTCTTGCATCATGAACACTCGAAGCGTGTCCYGACTTTACCAACGTGCCGCCGAGCATGAGCTAAAACAACACATCAACTTTTCTCATCAAAGCTATCGACACTCCCGTTACCAACGTCTTCGATTGGCTCACTTCTTTCTCGATTGCATGGACCTCGTTTGTGGTATTCACGTGACTCCTGAAGTCATGAGCCCTACCGTTTACAAGTACCTACTAGCACAGCAAAAGTCAACGATCGTCAAAACAAAGAAGACAGAGAATACTACAGCGATCTCGTCACGATGACCATGCAAGCCTCCAACAACTCCTACTGGGGACGTAGCGAATTCAAAAGAAAAGACAAGTTTATATTTCCTGAAGGGCTTCTGCGCCATTCATTTTTAAAGTTACTTCGAAGCCTCAACATTGATCAAGTTCAACCTTGGTACAAGGAGCCATGGTACAACAAGAAGTCAACACCCGCATCATGAACTTTATCTACCAACGTCTACACGATTACGAATTAGATCACCTTCCTTTTCAACCGTCACCCCATTTTACCCGCCGTCAACAAATCTTGATGACTCTTTTACTGCTTGATTGTCTCGATTATATTCTTGGAAAACAGCCACCACCTCACCGTCTAGGCTACTTTAGAAATGGCGTTCACAACGGATGGTATGCAGAAATGGGGGATGATTACCACGCAACCTTTAGCGACAAAAAACAAAAAAACAATCATCGTAACAAACTCCTTAACGCCCTTTGCTGTATTCTCGCTGGACGCTTCCCCATCCTCATCGAACTTTTCCCCACGTGGTTAATGTGTTTTGAATTTAACTGCCTCGCTTGGCAAGCTGATATCAAAACCAGGGCAATCTTCAGCCGAAGCACAACTAAACCCAAGTCCAAATTTTACCTCTACTGTTGCCGCCACTAATTATGGAAGAAGCCCTCATTAACAGTAATGAATTTCAGTACAAAGCATTTTACAAGGCGCCCACTTGTAAATGTGAACGTACTTCACATTATTACTTCACCAAAAAAGGCGGGACGTGTGACTGTACTACATTAGAAGACGCGCGCAAACACGCCGACACCGTTGTCTTTGTCTGTCGTCAACTCACCCCCACGTGGTGTACCTTTCGATGTGAGATTAACGAAAGTCAATTCAGCAACGATGAGTGGCATGAATTGTGGTTGTTCAAACAAAAGCAAGAAAGGCTTTGCTTCCGTGGGTATCAAATTTCCAGTGCTCGTGACTCCGCCTCCATCCACTACTGCGATCGCGATTGGGTAGAAATGAGTCTCAAGCACCACCCCACACTTACCGACACTATCATAAACATAGAACCTCCAAATCCTCAAATCACTTCGCTCCCAAAATCCATCGTGTAAAGAAAGTCGTCTGTGTATCATGAGTACTCTACAACAAGAACCAACAGCAACACCGCCGCCATGTTTTTGTGGCGCTCCTTTCAAAAGCTTTACTTCTCAAAAAAAGGAAGCCTATTGGAAATGTGGAGTGACGGTTGACTACAAGGGTATCTTCGAAGAACTCAAGTCCGCCAAAGGAAAAGGCGCCAAAGCCAAAAGGGAACATGTGTGCAACCATGCCTCCCTTGGGTGCAAACTCAACATCAAACAAGAAGACTACGGACACATCCACCCCTACCTTTTTACCATTGGTCCCAAGTGCCACCCCAAGTGYGAGGAACATAATCTCTTTGCCAAGTTAAACGTCAGCCATTCTGAAAACAACTACAACCGCGCCTTCTTCACGTGTTGTGTTAACTACCCTGACATCTCCTGCTCGTATTTTGCCTGGTGTGATGAAATCATTCCTGACCAACAACAAGAACAAGAGCAAGAGCAATCTTCTCCTGAACAGTACCATTACCAACTCCACGAACCCCCCGCCAAGCGTCCACGTGATCAACTGGAATGGACTGGTGGTCCCCCAACCAACTCCAAGTTTCAATTTCCTCCTGCACCACCACCCAAGTTCCAATTTCTTCCACCACCACCTCTCTTCCCCAATGGCAAACCTCCTTACCCTAAAGACACTAGACCCAAGGTCATGTACCCAGGCTATAACCCCGGTTTATTTTAGAAACAATGTATTAGTTTTTTGCGAAATAAAATCATTGATGTAACCTAACACTGTCTGGTTTATTGTCTGGTCTGGTTTTTTCTCATTTCCGGTCTGGTGATGTCATTTCCTTTTTTATGCAAATTATGTGACAAAACTGCACACCTATACACTACTGGTTTCGAGTAAAACGAGGCCATAATTCATCTCTTTGTCCAGGTAAGGTTGGAAACAGTAGTCTAATGGCAGCTTGAAGAGAAACACCCTGAACAGCTGAGAAAACTTGCAGTAACATGACTATAGAAATGCAAAGGTTATGTGCAGGAAATAAAGGGCAGACATCCTTTTCATCTTCGAGTAATTCTATAATTACTGAAAGGAGATTTAAAGTAGCCATGCTAACTGCACCAATAAATGCCGGGAAAGGACATAAACGGCTCATTTTTGCAATATAATACTTCTAACAAAGACGTTTTGAGTTTTATGGTATGAGCTATAGAGCTTTTTCATCCAACACTTCTAATTTGTAATGAAAGCGTGAATTAATATCTTAGTGGTTTCAATACTTAAAAATTTCCTAATGCGTGAAATGTTTCTAATGAAATAAAAAGCAGATTTACAAATCTGAGTTATATGACTGTCCAGAGATAAAGTATTATCGTAAATAACGCCAGTGTTTCTTGCACACTCTGAAGGAGTGACAGAGGAACTAGCCACTTGCACTGCATGTACTGGTGGAGCCGGGCAGTGCTTAGCATGGAATATCAGGATTTCAGTTTTATCATCATTAAGCTTTAATTTGTTGTTCAGCATCCACAAATCAATGTCTCGTACACATGCTTCCACTTTCATCCGAGCCAGCTCTAGATCGCCAACAACATCGGTCTTGAAGGATACATAGATCTGTAAGTCATCTGCATAACTGTGAAATGTCACTCCATGATGTCACCCAGAGGGGTATTATAGAGCAAATATAATACAGGGCCAAGTACGGACCCCTGTGAAACACCGCTGGTCAAGGCGCGGCTAGATGAACGCTCAGTATTTATCGCAACACATTGCTTTCGACCAGTCAGATAAGATGTAAACCAGTTATGAAACGTGCCTTCAATACCAAAACGAGAGGTGAGTCTTGTCAGGAGAACATCATGGTCAACCGTGTCKAACGCGGCAGAAAGGTCGAGCAGTAGGAGTATGACACAGCTACCATCATCTATTGCACGCAATATATCATTCTGCACCTTGATCAATGCTGATTCCGTACTGTGTCCAGGTTTGTAAGCCGACTAGAAAGGCTCAAACAAGTTATTGTGTTGTAAATAGGTATTCAAGTATGAAGCAACAGCTCGCTCACATGCTTTTGAGATGAATGTAAGATTTGAGAATGGTTGAAAGTTATTGAACAGTTCAAAATCAAGTGATGGCTTCTTCAGCAAAGGTCTCACTAAGGCGTCCTTCATACAATCAGGCATTATTCCACTTACAAGTGATAAGTTCACGACTTTTGTAATAATTGGCAGAAGAAGATCGAGGCAGCTTTTGAAATTTTCACAGGAACCGGGTCTAGAGCGCAACACTTTAAAGTAGTGCGGTGGATAATTTCGGACAATTCATCAGTTGTAACAGACTTGAAATTACTAAAAGTTGCAGAGGGCAAAGTATCACTCAGGTAAGGTAGAGTGCTCTCAGTTAGCTTAGACTTTCTCACATCGAGACCACATCTTATATTTGATATTTTACTGGAAAAGAAGTCAGCAAAAGCATCAGCGAGCGCCTTTGGATCGTCCCACGTAGGAAGCTTACCGTCATCTTTCAGGTGGAGCAGGCTGCTAACAGCAGAGAACAGTTTCTTTGGGTCGGATTGGTTTTCCTCAATAACACCGGAGTAGTAATGCATCTTGGACTGAAAAATCAGCTCATTTACTATTGTGCACTGGTTGACGTACAGCTCACGATGGACAGTGAGACCTGTAGCACGCCATTGTCGCTCCAGCTTCCGAYGTTTAACTTTCTCATTGATTTCCTCACTATACCAAGGTGCAGCCGGATGAAGCATAATACTGCGCTTTTTAAGGGGGCATGCATATCCAAAAGTGAAGATAACATACTTGAATATTTATCAGCCAGAACTGACACGTCATCACAGTCCATTGCAGACAATAGTGACGAATTAATGTCATCCCTCAGTCTATCCATATTAATAGATTTGACTTTCCTGTAATAGATGTTATTAAGAGGCAGTCTCTGTAAAAGCGGTCCGGTGCAATTCGGGTAGGGAAGCAGATTCCCTTTAAACTTTGCCAACAAAACTGTCTTCAAAAGTAATTGGAATGCATTTAATTTTTAGAAATATTTTAAAATGAATTTTTTACACAATTTTCTTTCCAGAGCCGAAGGTCGCTCGATTTTGAATAAATTAAACGGGAAAAATAGCCGATATTTCTTATATAGAATCTTTGGAACCCTGGGAAAAGTTGGCAAGAAGATGAACCCCAAAGGAGAAAAAAACGACTGCATGAACAAATGTCAGAGAATAGTGAAATTGCGCAAGGAGACGAGATAATTCTCATACTATTCAATTAGAAACACAATAAAATACATAGTTTATTAGTCTTGAAAACATTAATAAAATATTGCTTGTTCTTATTCTGTCAAACCCCACCCAAAGTATCTACAGATAACTAGGCTATTAGAAAAGTTTGTATTATAATATATTTTTTGACATACCTTGTAATCACCCTTCAGGTATCTCTTGGCTTCCTTTAGTTGCTCTTTCTTTGCCTTTGCCCAAGACAAACCCAGTCCGTTGCTATCTCCAAGGCAATCGACAACTTGCTCTAGGTCTTCAAACGCTCTGGCACCCTGCGCTCCAAAATAATCTAAACCTTGGAGAGATTTCCTTATTGAAGCAGAACA